AAAAAAAAAAAGTATTTTTTTAAAACGTTAGAGGAAACTCGAATTTTATACCATCAAACTTAACATGAAAAGTTCTAACAAGAGAAGAGTGACCACTAAGTCGCAAGGACCTACTTAAAATAGAAAAGTATTTTTTTTTTTGTATTAACTTCTTGAAATTTAGTAATCACATTGGGTATCGATTAATTTAGAATCGAATCGCGTCGAATTCCATAATAGGGAACTCTCCTAACATTTGTTTTTCCATTCACAAAACTCAAACTTAAAATCTTATTTAAAGGGAATCGAACTTTTTTCACTCGGAGTAACAAGTTGTTAGTAAAATAGAAAAGTCTTTGGTTAACTATTCTTCTCCTTTTTTATATGACAAATCTACCCCTATTAACATAAGAAAAACTCTTTAAAAATTCAACCGTCCCCCTCTTCGTTATTTATATAGCATAAAGTAAGATTTATGGTGGAAGACTGAATTGCTAGTCCCTAGGCTAGAGAAGCGAATAAGATCACAACATGTAAGGATCTTAGACAAAAGATGTCCCAACCTCTTTTGGTCACCACTGGTTGGCTTCTGAATGGCCGTCAAAATCGCTTTAATTTCCTCCAATTTCCTCTCCATCAGCCCCTTCGTTGCTGCCTATAGTTTTCATTTTTATTTTATTTTTTATATACAACAAGTGATATCATCTCCTTTTTAATCATGTAAATTTGAGATTTTAAACGTAAAATTCAATCTCTTAACAACCTCTAAAGAGCGTATTTATTTTCCCTGTCATTTGTAATATCAAATAGCATAGTTGTATTCATTTATATTCTATAGGATGGAAAAGTGCTTTCACAATTAATTAATATTCATAACGTCACATACTAATATCTGAAACATTTTCTAATTTAGAACTAATAGTTATATCTAGTTACATCTAAACGTCATAGTTGTAACTAATAACACTCTTATATGTATATAGGAATTGATGTTTAATAGTCTAAATTGTATATTAAAAGTGCAGCTTGTTTTATAAATTTATTAAAATATCTTCAATAAAATTATTAAAAATATTTTAATATATTAAGATAAACTGTACTTTTAATTTATTGTCCTGTAAAACCCTTTTTTCATATATTTATATATATATATGCTTTCACTTCATTACTAATGACTTCTCATTTCATTCATAAAAGCTAGGATATTTAGTGCATGTTTGGTGTAGTTGGTACGAAGTGCTTTTAAAGTCTAAAGCTCCAACTGTGTCAAATACTCCAACTTGCAAAATTTGCTTCAGCTCTTGAGAAGCTAACCCTAGCTTTCGCCTTTTGAAAATGGAAGAAGCACAAAATTGGAGCTTTTGTGTGTGCTATTGCCTCCATTTTAATGAAATTTTCTTATTATACCTATTTTACCCTCATATTTTAATAAATTTACAATTAAACCACTATATAGACAGTTAAATCCCTAATTTTCCCATATACCCATCTTCTCCATCTGCCAATTGCTCCTCTCTACCCATCTTCTCCATCTATTGATTGCTCCTTTAAACAAATCTCAATCTTCATGTTTCTGACATCCTCATCCTCCTCATCCCAAATCTAGTGGTGTAGCCTCCAATCTTCAACAGGTAAGCTCCCTTTTCTCAAACTTCATCTTCTAGATTATGGGTTTATTATTGTATCTTTTTTTGTTTCCCTTTTTGATTTCTAGAAAGCATGGATTTTTCTTTCAATTGCCATGTCAATTTCTTTGTTTTCTTCTTGTTCATCAATTGGCATGCCATCTTCTCTGCTTTGTGTCTTTCAAGCTGGAGCAAGCTATAAGGCCCTACTTGTTGTTCCCTTGCCTATTCCACCTGTTACCAGGTAATTCTTTTCACTTGTTTTTCTCATTCAATTGTATAATTTTGTTACAAGTTGAGATATTAAGCTTTAGGTTTTTCTTGTTGTTATTCCAAAATGGTTGCTGCTATTGGGAGCTCTCGAAGGCTTGTTTCAAATCAATTTTAGATTTTTTTTTTTTTGTAATTTTTTTGATTTTGGAATAAACTTGGATTTGATTGATTTTGCCCACATAGCATGCTCATAGTGGCAACTTCAGGGATTGGATATGTGCTAGGGAGTGGAAATGCCATTGATTTTGCAGGACTTTGTTGGACTTGTGTTGGAACTATGATGGTGCTAACTCCTTGATTTAGGTACGGTCTTTTACTCTTTATTATCTTGTTATTTGCTACCAAATTTTCATGATTATATGATTGTTTTTGCATCATTTTTCATTTTCATGAATTCCACATGAAATCTTGCTTGATATGGCCAAGCAGCTAACTTGATGTTTCAATTCATGTGTCTCTGTGCTTTTTGCAGAATAGATTTTGTAATAGCATACTAATTTTTACATTGCATACCATATCACTATTCCATGAAAAAATAGTACAAACACTTAGGGGCCTATTATTCCTGATGGTAGTGTTCTCTTTTCGCTACTGTTGATAGGACAAAACTGGAAAGATTGAGACAAAAAGAGGTAGGGTAGAAAAGGAAGAAATAAAGTGAATGTTCTTATGCTATAGTTAGTTACTTATCTTGAGTAAGCCATTTAAGCTGTAAACTTAAATTCTAGTAAACATTAATCATTTTCCTTTTTCTTCATTATTCTAGTAATAAAATGACACTACTTCCTTTATTTTCAGCAAAAAGCAGAAAGGTGGAGGCCTGAATAGATGGCAAAAAGAATGGCATAGAAAGCCTTAAGCCATTCTAGATCACGTTTCCTTTTTCTGTCGATAAGAACAATTGAAACACTACTTCCTTTATTTTCCTCTTTTTTTTCTGTCAAAAACTATTTTCATTAAAATTAATTTTTTGATAAATTAAATTGCTACAATTAGTTTACAATCAGTAGTTAAATGTTGTATTAGTTATGATCTTAGCATTTTTGTAGCTACTAACTTTATTATAAAATTGTAATTACACCAAATATTTTGATGTTGTGACGAAGTTGAAAATTAGCTATACAATTTGTCTATAGGTTGAATCATCCAAAATTCTAGGCCTAAATAGGTTATTTGGTTAGGATTTTGTATTGTATTGCTTGCTAGTTAAAGAAGCTCCTTCCCATAGTAGCATGACTTGATGTCAATAGATAATTTATTTTTTTCATGTCAAAGAATGTGTAAAGATTGTTGATGTTATTATTATTAGTATTGTCAAGTTTATGTTTTTATAGATATTGTTTAAACGACAAAATTATTTCAAATATATAAGATGGCAAGCCCTTCTGATTCAAAGGATAAAAGGACAAAGGCACAATGAGATGCAATTACAATGAAAATTTTTTGTCAGGTATGTGTTGAAGAGCTCATGGGTGGTAATCATCCCATTAATACTTTTAATAAAATAGGGTGGAGAAATGTAGAAGAAAAATTTAATAAAAGAGCAAATAAAAATTATATTTATAAACAATTAAGAAATGTGTGGGATGCATTAAAAAGTGATTGGGTTTTGTGGAATCAACTTTTAAAACAAGAAACATGATTAGGGTGGAACCATGAAAAGGATACGATTGATGCTACTTCTCAACGATGGGCTATATTGAAAGCGGTTTTTTGTTGTTCTTAATGATTTTGCATTTTTGAATGTTAATATGTTGGTTTTAACTTTAAATTCATAATTTATTATATTTTATATGTGTTAATTATTGTAGGAGAATAGGGAATATACCAAGTTTAAGCATAATGGATTAGAAAATACTGCAAAACTGGAGATAATGTTTGCTAAAATAGTGATCACTGGTGAAACTACATGGACCCTAGCTGTTGGTGCTATTTTTCTAGAACAAGAAGTAGGTGAATTAAAGGTTGAAGATGCTATTGATTTAGATGAATGAAGTGGTGATTCTAATGAGGTGAATATCATGGCTACACAAACCCAAAGAAGCAATGAAAGAAAGGAAAAACACAATATGTAGTTCAACTAAAGGTAAATGAAAGAAAGTGAATTCAGGGGGTGCAACATACATGCAAAGACAATTGAATCGTCTTTGTGATGTAGTTGAAAGTTATACCTCATCTAGTTTAACCGAATCATCAAAAAAGAACTATGATGCATCTATTGGTAGAATTGCATAATGCATGGATGTTTTTTAGACTTTGTCTAGAGTTGAAGATGGTAGTGAGTTATATATATTAAATACTCATTTGTTTATAAAACAAGAATATAGAGAGATGTTTAATAGCATAAAATCAGTCAACTCTAAAGTTTCTTGTCTAAAACAAGAGTTGAAAAGGGAAAAGTTTAAGCTAGAGTTGGAGAGGGAGAAACTATGTGGTAATAGGCACTAGGATGTGAGATATTAACCTATGTTATGTGTGATCTTGAGTTTCTAGTATTGATATGTTATTTAAGATTTGAGATGCAGAACTAGTATGAATATTATGGTTTTAATTTTTTGTTTTCAAAATTTAAGTTTTTAGTTTTTAATTTTTAGTGTTAAGATAGTTGTAATGTTTGACTTTGACATATAGGACTATAATTTCTATGTAGAATGTGGAACAATGTTATGAATTTGTGCTTTCTCATAATGTTTTTTTTTAAAATTATGTGGTGATTTTAAACTCAAGACATTAAAATAATGTGATGATTCTTTTTGTAGCATATGGAATGCATACATCTCTAAGAAATAGATAAGAGATAATGTAAAGGGCATATCCTCCTCTACTCCGAAAATCCAATACAACCCAAAGTTGAAAAAAAAAAAGCCCATAAAAAATTCATCTAGTACAACTAGAAAGAAAAAAAATCGTAAAAAATTCATACCTTGGACTTTCAATAATCTATAGAGAATTTCATCCATTTCATATATATATATATATTGATAATTTCATCTAGTAAACATGGTGTTGCATTTTGTCATCATCACCATAATGGCAAGCTGTCTTAAAAGTTCTCTACTAGTATAGTAGGTCAAGACATGTGCCTCAATAGGTATCCAATTCCTTTATAGAAAGATGTTAAAGTATACTTCTCATGATAAATGTCTAGTCTTGTTATTTAAGTGTGTTGAAAAGGAATGAAAGTGAGGCTTTCCAAAACAAATCAGCAAAATCTACTTTTAAGAAAGATTGACCAAGTCAAAGAGAAAAAAATTAAACACTAATTTAACCAACTAACCTCCAACTACTCTGCTTTGTTCTATTTTATTAGCAACAATTGTTTTCCTTCACTTAAGTTCATTTACTTTGCTTTGTTCCTTTCTATTAAGAATTAAATGAGTTCAATTGACATCATTCTTCCAAGTTCATTTCTCATTATATTAAGAGAAATAAAAAAAGGGTAATTTCATTTATTTTTTTATTGACAAAGTTTTGTTGTAAAAATAATAGGATTTGTTTGTTGGATCATATTTTCCCTTAACTTTTTTTCTTTTTTCTTAGTAGATGGATTTAGATTCAAGATAGGAGGAAGAAAATAGTGATGAGGATAAGATAGAGGAAGAAGCTATACAACAAAGAGAGAGGGAGGTGGAAGCTACACGAAAAAAAGATAATGTGTTTTTTTCTTTTGTTTCATTAAGCACTTTAATATCCTCAAAATATATTTTGAAGTATCTTAATAAACAAAAAACAAGAGTTTCTAAACTTTCAGGATGGCAATGTGGACAAGAGACATTGGCAACTCTGGGTGAGAGTTATAGAATATTTAAAATGGAACCACATGTTTTTAGGGGATTATGTTCTTTGTCGGTTAGTGATTATGATCTAATATCAACAAGAGAAATATGTGTTGAAGAAACACTTACAATGTTTCTGTGGACATGTGCACATAAAAAATCTAATCGAAATATGCAAAATCATTTTAAACATTCAGGAGAAACAGTAAGTAAAAATTTGGTGAGGTTCTTAATGCACTAGTGAGGTTTTTAGATGATATTATGAAACCACCTGATTATAATTTTATTGAAACTCCAAAGAAGCTTCAGGAAGATAGTAGGTGTTAGCTGCATTTTAAAGGAAATATTGGTACAATTGATGGTGCACATATTAAAGTCATGATCTCAGTTGAAGATTAAGTACCATTCAGAGGTCAAAAAGACACCACCACTTAAAATGTGATGGTAGTTCGTAACTTTGACATGATATTTACATTTGTAGTTACAGGTTAGCTTGGATCTACTCATGATGCACGCATTTTTAGTAATTCATTGGAAAAGTATAAGAATGTGTTCCCTTATCCTCTTAATGGTAATGACTTTTCATTTTTTTATATTATAATAACAAAGACATTTTTTTTATGAATTTTTAAGTACATTTTCATTGTTTATTATTAATAAATTTTCTTATTTATTTCAAGCAAATATTACCTTGTTGATGCTAGTTATCCAAATATAAAAGGATATTTGGCACCTTATAAAGGAGAAAAGTATCACATTTCTAATTTTAGACATGGAAGCCAACCCATAGGTTATCAAAAAGTATTCAACCATGCTCATACTTGTCTTAGAAATGTCATTGAATGATCTATTTGGGTTTGGAAAAATAGATTTGAAATATTGTCCAACATACAAAATTATTCATTTACAACATAAAAGAAGATAGTCGCTACAACTGTTGCACTTCATAATTACATTAGGCAACATGCAATTAAGGATAAAGAATTTAATAGGTGTGACCATGACCCAAATTATATGTTTGAAGTGCCCAGGGAAGAGAATAGAAGTGAAAGAATTTCCCAAAATAATCTTACTTGTACAATGGAGGATCATGGCATAACTTCACTTCGACATTCCGTAACTCTATCTTTAATGGAAAGTTAGTCAAGATGATTGTTATTGTCAATTTTTATTTTTATTATCTTATTTATAAAATTTAAATGTAGCATGTTTCATTTTTTAATATTAAATATAAGAATTTATCTATCTATTAATATTAAATTTATTAATTACTAACATTTATATTTTATAAATATAAAAATTTCATTTGTAATCATCAACTTTAACATAATTAAATTAAAAAGGAATTGAAGCTCTATAAAAATGACAAAAAAAAAAGAAGAAGAGAGAAACAATGTTTTTTTTAAGAAAATGTCATTTTTAATTATTTTAAGATTAAAAAATCTTTTATAAAAAAATTTACTAAAAAATTTTACCAAACAGTTTTATACTTTGAAAGTTTTTCAGTAAAAAATTTTATCAAACACCTTTAATATCTTAAAAACAAAACTTCTGCAATAAATTTTTTCAAACAAAATTTCTATTAAAAATTCCAATTATACCAAATAGACTCTTATGTTGATTCCCATGTCTCTAGTCTCTTCCCTTCCAACCCCCTTGGTAAGAGTGCAGTCTTCTCTTTTTCCCATGTCTCTGCTCTTTCATTTGTTGTTTGATGTCAATGGGCTTGACTTGTCGTTTTTTATTTTTATTTTCTCTAAATGCTTAATCCAATTTGATTTCCAACTTTGAACAAATTGGTCAACGCAGCTCAAAAACAATAGTTGGTGTTGAACCAACCTCTTATATACTCAACAATGCCTCTGCATTATTTGAACAATAAAATTTGATTATACTGTTTGACAAAAAAGACAATGGTAAATGCGAAAATAGATTAAAAAAAATGAAGGGTTCTCTATTTTGCTATTTTAATTGTATAAAGTGACAAAAAATAAATTAGTACATAAAAAATTAACTTTAATATTAAAAAATTTATCTCTTGTTTAATAATTTGTATAGTTTAAAAAACTACATAGTATTTTTTTAAAAAAATAAAATAAAACTACTTTTTTTCAATTGCAGTTGATGAATGATAATTTTCATGGTTTTTCTTTTAATGGTAAGGTCGTCCACAAAATCTCTCTTCCCATTATTGTGCATCGCTGTCTACTGTTTCTAAAATTTTTTAAGCCTCTCTAATTGCCAAGAAGCGGCCTCCTATGAAGTTCCTTCTTTAATTAACGGCCAAAAAAACTGCCTCCATTGAGATTCCTTTATGAATTTGACATATATCCTTGGTCAAAGTCTCCCTTCCCGTAATTGCGCATCGCTCTCTACTAGTTTTAGAGTTTTCTATTGTTTCAAGTAGAATTGGTGACGGTCACTTTTATCTGCTCCGGTAGTTATCAGTTGTTTTCAAGTTTTTCAAGCAACCTTTAATTGACAAGAAGCCGCCTCCAAAAAAATACATCACATATCCTTTGATGGCGGTCAAAATTTTGATAATTCCAAATGTGAAGGCAATCAAGTTGTGATAACTCCAAAACTAATGAAATAATTACATTAAAATCATTTTACAAGGACACAATGCTGAAAATACGCCAGAAAATTTCCGCTACATACTTTCCAAGTATCACACGCATTGGGAAAAATGGCACAACAGAATAAAATAATTTTTGTAAATAAAATACATGAATAATAACAAAGAACAGTGAAATTGCAGTTTTGTTGGTCAATATTAATTATTAGTAATAAAGGTAGTTTAACTTGCCAAGCAAAATAAAATGGATGGTTTAACTAACCATTTAAGAGGAAAAATAAATAATAATAAAACAACACTAAATTTTACGTAAAAAAACCCTCAAAAAACAATTGAAAGAAAAAAAACAAGGAATAAACTCCAAAAAATATTTCATTATGTAATAAAATTGTACAAAATATACACTTAAGTGTTTTTTTCTCATGTTTTTCACTCCCTCAAAATATGATTACAATCTTGATAAGCTCATAATTTTATAACTCAATGTACTCTCTTTATAGAGCACACTTACACCTAATCCTAAACTTAATGCCTAACTCTCACCCTTCTATTTCTCACCCGAGCTCTCTCCTTGGAACTCACTCACTCATTTTGGTATTGCTCTACTGCTTCTTGCTTGCAGGTTGCCTTGCCTTTGCATGGGTATTTATAGATGAAGAAACCAACTACCCATGCAAGTTTTCTTCACCTCATTAAATGAGGTTTGTTTGCCATGGTTGAAATTACCATGCAAACATTCAACAAGGGCTGCTATAGCTTGCAGCCTTTGAGCTGTAGGACGGTAGAAATTTTCAAGTGGGCTGGAACTGGACGCTTCTGCCAACTCCACGACGCCTTTATGAAGACAGGAGCATCTGCTGCTAAGCATCCCACTCCACACGAGAAGCAAAGAAAAATGAGCTTTCAAACTCCATTCTGCGGTTTTATTTTTCTCTTCCTTACTGTCCTCCCCTCTTTCACATCCCCTACCTTGTTATTTCAGGTGAACTTTTTCTCTTTTAATTAAGCACAAACACACCTCTTCAATTATGCCTAAAACAGAATTTGATGTTTTGATAAACTGCTTGTTATTGTAGGGATTCAATTGGGAATCTAGCCAAAAGCAAGGAGGATGGTACAATTCCCTCAAGAACTCTGTTTCCGACATTGCTGCTGCCGGAATCACTCATGTCTGGCTTCCTCCTCCCTCCCAATCTGCTGATTCCGAAGGTCAATTTTTAATTATCCCACTTCCGGTCGTTTTCTAGTTTGGTAATAGTTACGTTTGTTTCCTAGTTATTATGCCAAGAGATCAATAGCCACGTACTACATCTTCTAGGTTATTTCCCATTGTATTGTCTATAATGATCCTACTAATGATTAATTTTCCCGTTATATCCAGGATATTTGCCTGGGAAGCTCTATGATCTGGATGCATCCAAGTACGGATCACAGGATGAATTGAAGTCACTTATTGGAGCACTTAGTGAGAAGGGTGTCAAATCTGTGGCCGACATAGTCATAAACCACAGAACAGCGGCCAAAAAAGACGGTCGAGGACAATGGTGTATTTTCGAAGGCGGAACGCCCGACGACCGCCTTGATTGGGGCCCATCCTTCATTTGCAGAGACGACGCTCCTTATGCTGACGGAAATGGAAATCCCGATTCCGGCGAGGACTATCCGGATGCCCCGGATATTGACCACCTCAATCCGAGGGTACAGAAGGAGTTGTCTGACTGGATGAACTGGTTGAAGTCTGAAATCGGATTCGTAGGGTGGCAGTTTAGTTTCGCGAATGGTTATGCTCCTAACATTACCAAAATCTACATGGAAAATACTTCTCCGGACTTCGCGGTTGGCGAGAAATGGGACCCCCTTTCTCTGGGACAAGGTGGTCCAGACGCTCATCGCAGGGCATTGAAAGATTGGGTCAATTCTGCTGGTGGATCTGTCGCGGCAATTGACTTCACGACAAAGGGGGTTCTTCAGGCTGCCGTACAAGGCGAGTTGTGGCGGCTGAAGGACTCCAACGGAAAGCCACCAGGACTAATCGGAATTTTGCCGCAGAATGCTGTCACTTTTATTGATAACCATGACACTGGGTCCACACAAAAGAAGTGGCCTTTCCCCTCTGATAAAGTCATGCAGGGATATGCTTATATTCTCACCCACCCAGGGATCCCCTCAATTGTAAGCAGGAAAAATCCTTCTTTATTTTCACAAAATTTTAGGGGAAGTTGAATTCTGCTGACATTTTTCTCTGTTTTGCAGTTTTATGATCATTTCTTCGATTGGGATTTGAAGGAGAAGATTGGGAATTTGGTGGCAATCAGGAAAAGGAATGGGATCAACACAACTAGTTCAGTTAATATTCTGGTAGCTGATGCTGATCTCTACGTGGCTGCTATTGATGAGAAAATCATGGTGAAGATTGGACCGAAGATGGATCTTGGAAACCTTATTCCCTCCAATTTCCAACTTGCTACCACCGGAACCAACTATAGTGTATGGGAGGAGGGACGGAGCCAGAAATTTTTTTGTCAATTATTTATTAGTTCATATTAGTATAATATATGCTTATTTTTATCTCAGTCAATATTAATTTGTGTGTATATTATTTAAGTTATACACACAAAACTTTAAATTAATTAGATATTTAGTTTTATTAAGAAAATTAGGTATATTAGCTATTTTTGAATGATATATACTTTAAAATCTTTAAATAAATAGTATAAAAATGTAATTTATTTTTTTGAATGGTTTCCTATATCAAAATAATGTTAAATTTCAAATCTATGATTTATATGAATATAATAAATTTAATCATTATTTTTATAAAATATAAATTGTGCAAAAAAGTATATTTAACTAATGTACAACCTTATATATATAACTTACACCAATATAATTAATTAGATTTTGATTATTTTTTAATATATTTTTTCTTATCTAGACTAAATTATCATATCTTAAAAATTAATTACAAAGAGAGACACGATTCCATTACCTAACTTCTAAATATTTTCTTTATATTTCAAATGGTTCTAATAATTCAAAAACTCAAAAAATAAAATTCTATAAAAAATTAAAAATTAAGGAAAAAAATGAATATCAATCTCAACTCTCAAAATAAGTTGGAATTTCAACTTTAAACTATGTCATTTTGTTTAATTAAAATACAATTCAAAATTTAAAAATATATCTTATTAAATATTGATATTTAAATTTGAAGATTAATTATTTTAGAATGTATAATCAATTTCAAATTCTATCTATCAACATCTAATTAGATGGATTTTTTAATTGTGAATTGAGATTTCAGTTTTTCAAATGTGAATTAAAATTCTAATTTTTTTGAAATTTGGACCAATATATACTAATCTTAAAAATTAATGTACCATATTAAAAAATTTTCAAAAGCTGAGGGGGTGGCTGCCCCATTTCCTACATTTGGCTCCATCCTTGAGTGCATATCAATCCAACTTATATTTAGAACTGAAATTTTAATTCAAAATTCAAAAATTTACTTTATTAAATGTTGATATCTAAATTTGAAAACTAATTATATATTATAATATAATTAGTTTTTAAATTTAAATATCAACATTTAATAAAATAAGCTTTTAAATTTTAAATTGAATTTTAATTAAATAAAACTACATCGTTTAAGGTTGAGACCCCAATTTATTTTGAGAATTGAAACTAATGTACTTTCCTCTTTAAAAAATTATAAAAATCAATTTTATTTTCAATATCAAATCAAATAAATAATTTAATTAAACATACAATAAATTTAATTCAATTTTTATTTTTTTATATAAATTAATGACAAAAAAAATAATTACGTCCTTAGAAAATTCCTTAACTTTTTGACTAACTCTTTGCCTTTCAAACTGAGATGTTAACGGGTTTGGGGTACCCCTTGTACTCCGTTTCAATAAATATTACTTTTGCTTTTCCAAAAAAAAAATTCCTTAACTTTTTACATACAACAAGTGATATCATCCATTGTCAATCATTTAAATTTGAGATCTAAAACATAAAATGCAAACTCTTATGGCAAAACCATATGTTATGACCCTAAACTAACCCCAAATGAGTTCTTAAACCTTTATTGATGCATATAAATCCTTAAACTCTACTATTTGAGCAATTTAGCCCTTAATTCTTAACGACTATGAGAATAAGGGCTAAATTGCCGTAAGAATAAGAGTTAAATTGCTCGGATTGTGGAATCTAAGAACTTATATGCATCAATTAAAGATTGTGAGCTCAATAGTGAATATGGGGTTAGTTCAGGGGCTTAGCATATGGTTTTACCAACTCTTAACAAGGGAAACGTCCTCTAAAGAGCTTATTTATTTTGCCTTTCATTCCTAACATGTAATATCAAACACCATAAAAGCTAATAGTTATCCGAAACACTTTCAATTTAGAACTAATAGTTATATCTAGCTATATCACTACTAGAATGCATAAACTTGCTCACGATAAAGCACGTCCATAAGTGGGGGAATACCGAAATATCAAAATTTTCACTCTAAACGCGTTGGTAAATAGGTGTCATTATAAGTGTCTTCGGTAATCCATGCAATGACATGATTTGAAGTCATGTTGGTGAATTTCTCCAAATTATCAATGTATACCATGTCTGAAAATTAAGTCACCGGAAAAGTATCAATGGGATTGTTTTCCAACTGTTCTCAAGTCAGTAAATTTATCGACATGAGTAACACTGGTTAGATATTTTTATACTTATATTAAAGATTAAAATTCCGTTTGAATTTTCCATTTGCCGACAAGATATACGTCGGCATTCATTTTCTGGGATGAAGTAAAAAATGCACAGGTTACCATTTTACTGACATGCATAACATTAGTAAGGGATTTTTCTGGAAAGAAAAATAATTAAATCAGTTTGTTCAATTGATACTCAAATTAATATATATTTTTATTTAATTCAATCTATTTACTGTTAAATGTCAATTAATTTAAAACTCTCAATATTGTAAAAAGGAAATATGTGTTATTGCAAAAGTGCTTGGGTACTTTGGGATCCTGTTTGCTAACTTCGGCAGACCTGCAAAGCCCCGAGGTGGGTCCTCGGGGTAGACTCTCCGATGCCTAAGTCAGCAATAATCAGAGCTACCAAAATGTGAATCGAGAGCTAGGCTTGAGTTCGGTTTTTCCATTACCTTTGGAGAGGACCCTCGGGGGGTATTTATAGCCTTCAAAAGGGGCATCCACGTGTTGTTCTTCACGAGAAATCAGGGCTATATGTGTCGATGATCCCATAAGGTTTCCTTACAGTATTTCTGCACGTACGGAGTTACTGTAGAGTAGGATCAAAAGGGATGAGCTCGAGCTTGGACGAGCTCATCTTTCCTCGTTGCCAAGGTGACTAGATTGGAAGTGGTCCGGGTGCCTCGGGTATTTGACCTCGGGCTGTGTGAGATCGGACTGTGACTTCGGACTACTTCGGACTACTACTACTACAATATGGTATCAAAATTTTACAATAAAAACAGAAAATTATTCAATTTATGTACTCAAACTAATGATTAAAACATAATTGAAAAAACAAAGATAATAAGGCCAATATAAGATATAATTGAATAACATAATAAAAAAATTAAAAATTAACTCAATTAAAATTTTGATATTTATAAAGTACCATTTCCTAAAAAAATGATGAAATATAAATTAATTTAATATTTACATATAAATTTAATCAAATAATACAATCAAAATATGATTGAAATTAAATTTTAATTTAGATAAATAAATTTTAATTTCCCAATATTTATCTCCAAATGTTTCTTACAAAACAACATTAAAAAAAAAAAGAGAGAGAAAAAGGAAGTAGGGTTTCTGTTTTTTATTTCTTTGTATAGCAATTTTGCTGAAGTTGTCTTTCCAACTCCGGCCATGCCAATCAAAGAAATGACAGAGATGGGATGTTGATTCCTTTTTTCAGTCAACAAGTGAACAATTTCTGCAACATCCTCATCTCTTCTTGATTCAAATTTGGAATCTAGATAGGAGTGAGTATGAAGCCGGGATTGGCCAAGCCGGGGGCTTTCGTTTCTAGTAAGAAGAGGTAAAACTGCATTTCCTTTTACTTTAACAAGAGACTTGTTAATCTTCTTAATTTTATTAGCCATGTTGAAACGAAATGCAATGGGATTTGAGGGAGAAAAGAAGGGTGCGCGCCCGTTTTAGTTTCTTTTTTTTATATAAATTAATGATAAAAAAATATAATAAATATATTTTTAATATATACTAATTAATACATATTAAAAAATTTCTGTCATTAAAGCTTATACTCTTTCTATTCATTTTTAGCGAATTTAGTTTTTTATTTAGGACATTTAAATTTAATTGTCAATTTTTTTTTAAGATGTCATTTAATATATTTATTGCTACGTTACTTTCATTTAAAAAATAATTATAACATATATTAAATAAAAAATATTATTTAAATAACATTTAATTAAAAATAAATATAGAATTTTATTAATAAATTATTATATTTTTATTTTATTAAATAAAAAATTCAATTTATTAAAAATAAATAGAAGAAATAATTAGTGCCGTAACGGGAATTAAACTCACCACCAAACCTACGAATACAGGCCAAGAAAAAATTAATGAGAAAAAATTACTATAATTAATGCCAAATTAATATATTGGCTTGAATATATTAATTTGCATCAACTTGCCTACTTGGCTTGAATATTCAAATTATATTGTATACTCAGCTGTGATGTGATGCAGATTTTATTCTATTTTATTTTTTATTTTTTTGTGGTAGTATGAAGTTTAACGTGAGGCGAGGTTCTCCCAATTGGCCAGTACGGACTTATAATGAAGGAATTTATAGATCGAATATCATAAGAGGCTGATGGCAGCGAGACTCTAATATAAGTACTGAGGGTCAAAGCATTTGAAAGTGCACAAGTAATGGCGCGCCTCTAGTATTTGTCATACATTTTCGCACAAAAAGGTTTAAGTCATGATACAACCTCTGAGATTTTTTACGATGAAAATTTCCTCATAATTTCACAATAATTTGGTAATATTCAGATGACTTTTTATTTAACCCTTATAACTTGATGTCGTACATAAAATAATGAACATCCAATTAAAGAGAAGACTATTAAAAGAGATTTTTTCTCATAAGATTTAATTTAATTTAATTTTAA